ACCCCAGTGTTCGCGTACATGTACAGCAAGTAGAGCTTGATACCTGTGTGAGGGCGCGATAATTATTCTCATCAAGGGATTTGAGTCAAATTCATTTTCAAGGAGATAAACTAACCTTGTAGAGCTTGTTGTTTTCGCATCTGTTCATCTGAGTTGTTTTCTTACCTTGTACAGTTGCAGTACGTCTTCATAAACCTCGTTGAACGTCGAGGTGTCAATTTTGCTTTCCTCTACTTTACCTGTGTTCCAGTTGAACTATGATTTTACCATTTGAATCGCACTATCTTCAGTTTGTGCTTTCTCCAGGTCCACTTGATCTATGAGGATTTTACCTTTAAAGTTCCCTATCAGTGGGGGTCCACTGCTTTCATCTGCCCGGGCCCCTGACAAGTGCCAGGGTGGTTGTACAATTGTACATATCTTACCTTTGCAAGAGGGGGGTAAATATTCCGAATCTGAGCAATTGTTTACCTTTGACATGTTTTCCTGGTTCATTTCTAGTAAATTCGGCTTTTCACCTATTTTTAAATTTTTCCAGGGCAAGGGGAACATGTCTTGGTTACCTTGTGTAATTGAGTCTTTATCCATGTGTGTCGCTCTTGAGATCAAATCGGCATTAATATTTGTTTTACCTGCCCGATGCATAACTTTAAAATTAAATTGTTGTGTAAAATCTAGCCATCGCCTGATAGTTCCTCCGGAGTCCTTCATAGTAGACCAATGAAGCACTGTAGTGGAGTCTGTCACGATAATGAACTGATTCAACCTTAACAATGATTCAAATTTAGTTAAACCATACGTGAGGGCGAGTAATTCACCCTTGGAACTATGATAGTTGCTCTCATAGTTCCTACATTTTCTCCCTTTTACACCTAAAAATCTTTCAACATTATTTTGCTCCTGAGACAAAACTGCACCAATTGCAGTTTTAGAGAAATCTATGGTTAAAATGAAAGGATTAGCGGCTGGAGAGAAGTCAGGCGTGGCTCTGCACGGCGCTGCTGCAAACATCTGTTTTAAAGTATTAAAATTATTTATCATATCCGGTGTCCATACAATCAACTTGTTATTTTTAACACTATTTAGTTCAGCCATTACGTTTGCAAAACCTAGTAAAAAATCACGGTAATAATTAGTGAAACCTAAAAATGCAGATAATTCTTTTCCTGTCTGAGGCAGCGGCCATTCTGTAATTTTCTGAACATAAGAGGGTATTAATTTAACTCCTTCTGCGTTTACTAGATGGCCTAGATATTCAACCTCTTCCTGAAACAAATGTGTTTTACCAGCATTTAATCTAATTCCTGCTTCTTTGTGGGCACTGAAAACTAAACGGATTAAGTTAACATGAGTCTCCAGGTCAGCACTATGCACCAAGACATCATCAAGATATGCGACGATGCCTGGTACACCTAAAATATCCACTAATCTCTGAACAAACCTACAATATGAAGCTGATGAATTCTTGAGCCCGAAGGGCATCCGAATGAACTGGTACAGACCGAAAGCTGTCGCAAAAGCTGTAATTGGCCGCGAGTCCTTCTCTACCTCTATAATATGGTATGCTTGACTCTCGTCAAGCGTACTAAAGTACTTCGACTTACCTAAAGATCCTAAAATTTCAGAAATATTAGGGGTGGGGAAGCTGTCGGTCACGGAGAGGTCATTGACCCGGCGGAAATCTAAAACCCACCTCGTCTCCCGGTCTTCTTGGTCACGGGGACCAGGGGCGAGGACCAGGGGGAGGAGCTGGGCTCAACAACTTCATTTTAACCATAAATCAAGTTGCACGCGTAAATTTTCTTTAAGATTCGGCGGTATTGGTCTCATTCTTTGATTTACAGGTCGGGCATTGGGTAGTAATTCAATTTTAAATGTTTCCCAGGTAGTTTTGACCACTTTACAGTCCTCAGTGGTAAAAATATCCTGATTTTCATCTATCATTGAACGTACCAATTTTTTTACATTTGGATTTTTTTGCAAAATTTTGTTCTCATGTAACCTTAAATCTGCCCATATTCTTTCCGTGACCGCAGGATCTTTCACCCCTGTTTTAACTACATTTACTCTGGACTTGGATTTAGATTCAAAAATCATGGAACCATTTGCAATTAATTGATTTGGTGAAATGTTTACATCATTATCTGACAAATTAGTATACATGATTATAAGTGACTTATCTTTATGCTGGGTTTTATGACGATAGACAGCAGGTAGAGCACCATCAAGGAGTTCCTCGTCAAGGGGTTGTATGTTAATAAGAGAAGCTGGGTTAACGGGGACATTACATTCTACTGCCTGCGTTGTTTTTCTGGGCACCGTGACAAAGTTTTTTGATGCTACAAGTAAAATCGGTGCACCTTCATTGTCAATTGCAAATTCCTGAGGAAAATATAAAAGATCTTAAATATGTATTTTTATTTTTTTTATAGCGAGTATCTGTGAACTACAACTAAAAGGTTTAAATTACGTGTTAGTTGTTATCTTTAAAGAATATGTGGCTTAATNAAAGGGGCGGGATCTATTATTATTTATGTTTGCAATGAGATCCTGGCGTTGATTGCTTGGTGTGTGAACGATCTGAGCTGAACCTGGTTTTAGAATTGGGCTCAGACTGTTTGATTTTAAGAAATTTATCCCAAGATAAATCTCTCAAAATCACAGCTGAACCTAAAAAGATTTGAGACAAATTTTGGAACCTAATTCTAACCTTCAACTGACCTACTGTTTTCATCGTCGAATTTGAACTAGCCCCATTTGCAGAGTTCAAATTCGACGGTACTAGTTGCTCTATTCTACCCCCTAACTTGTCTATGAAAAATTGCTTGCTGATAGCAACGCCTGACGGAATCAGAGCGCCGGTGTCCACGAGCAATTTTGTGTTTATGAAATTTTCACCTGAATTTACCATGTTCATTGATACAGCACCTTCCAGGAACACGTCGCCTCAATCAGGTTGATGTCGGCGGCTCTCCTGGGTCTTGAGACATCAGGGGCATATTTAAAATGCCCCTCAGCGTTATGATACTTGGATTTGCACTTGGAACAGTAGGTCCGTTCGCCGTGACGTGAACAGTCAGCATGTTTGTGCTCTCCTCCACATTACTTACATATGAGTGCTCTACAATCCTTGAGCGGATGGTTCAAACCACAGCGATAACATGTAAACGTCTTCTTCTCTCTGGGTTGGACAGGTACAGGTTGGATAGAGAGGTTGGAATCGACAGTTTTATTTACAATGCCAATTGCTTTCTCAACATATTAATACAAATAACCATTTTCAGATGGTGAATGTTTTCACTATTTTTTTAATGTTAAGATGGAACTCACTTTTTCCGTCTATTCCATCAAATACTCTCAAACTACAGATATAAAATATTTTTTAGAGCCAAAACCGGTATTTTTAGTGACCCAAAGAAACTGTCAACTATGATGATTTATCAAAGATACAATTTTATATTATCGATGTCGAGATTTTCCCTTTGTTCTCAAATTTTAATTTAAAAAGTCAATCCACTAAAAATACCATCATTACACAAAAACGAACATTGAATGTTTACTATTTCAAAATAACTTTATGTCAAGAATCGTTTCATATGCACCAAGAAATATTTAAAATTAAGTAGTTCCAACCACTTCACTGTTTTGTTTAAACTCAAAGTTTTGAACTTGCGCGCCAGCGGTATTTTACGCCGCAATTCAGAATGGGACCGAGTTTGATTTCATCGTCTTCTCTAACTAGTTTTTCTTTCGGTTTCATACGCGTAAATATACTAATTAGAAAAATGGTTGTAACAACGAGGTCAAAATCGCTTCCGGGGAGGTGTGTACTGTACTGCTCTTGAAGCTTGTTCAAATTACGCAAAATCTCCGTAAAACCAGGGTTCAGGGCAGGGTTCCTGCCTACGTCCTTCTTGCTTCTTCTTTTCTTCTTTCTTCTTCTTTTCTTCAAGCTTTTTCTTTTCTTCAAGCTTTTTCTTTTCTTCAAGCTTATTCTTTTCTTCCTGCTTCTTTTCTTCCTGCTTCTTTCTTTTCTTCATTTTTCTTCTTTTCTTCCTGCTCCTTCTTTTCTAGTTCTTTTTTCTTTGCAACTTTATCAACATACTCCCAAAGACGAGCTTCCTTTTCTTTAATCAACTTGTCTTTCAGGTCCTTCTCTCTTTGTTTTTTTTCACGTTGAATCTCCTGGAATTCGTTCAAGTTCTCAGCTTCATCCTGTTGGGCACTTGTTTCTCGAAGTTTTTCCAGAATCTCCGGAATATCCTTATAAAATTGTTCTAATGGTTTTTCTTATTTTGAATAGATAGATATAAAACTAAGATAGATAAAGCATATTTTAAGTTTTTTAAATCATCTTTTAGAACATTTTAAATTCATATAAAAGTTACTTTCTTTGCAAGTTGGTGAATTAAAAATATCAAAAAGAGAATTTAATTATTTGAATTACCAATGATGGTTTCCGGGGCTTCTTCACAAGCCCTTCGAGATCTGAATCTTCATTTAAAAATAGAGAATTTTATCTTCTTAGCTTCTTTTTTTTTTGCGCTTCATTTTCTAGTTTGAATTTCAGCTTATTGATGGCTTTTTTGTATATTGTAAAGTTAATTTTTTATTTTTACATGTGTTTTAAATCAAAATAAGAAAAATAGACATTTTATTCTAGACAAAACTCTTTGAGACTTGTTGTTTGATAAGTTTAGCAGTTTTCATGTATATTGAACTGAATAAACCAAAAAAAAATATATATCAAAACAAACAGAACGGCTGAGAGAATTTGCCAATTCGAGTGTTTTCTTCAAATCACTTTAGGAAAACATTAGCTATAACCAACAAGTAAAGAAAATTGTTTATATTACCTAACGTTGACATCTTGAATGTATCTTGCGAGAATAAATGATTCCTCTTTCGAATTCTTTTGTTTTTTCTCGGAAGCAATGATTCAGAGAAATAAGACATTTGAGATCTGAAATGATCAATTCATGAATTACATCCTGTAACCTTCCTTAGGTAAAGAATACAAATTCAAATCAAATAAACAGTATTGCATTCAGTCATGCAAGATGGCCTGGATGAGGCATTGTGAGTTAGATTGAAGCATTATTGCTCGAATGAGTTGCTTGTTCATCAATTCTTCTCCAGTCATCATTTCATTCCTTCCCGGACCAGTTACCAGGAAGTTGAAAATAATTCGGGAAGGAAGAGGATCCGTGAAAAAGTCTGCCGTTTCAGAGTACGTTGACCTCGTACATGTTACTTGTCCTCTTCTTGATGATGACAGGACAATTATCCATAATGGAGATGAAGACATTTCCTGGTGGTTTACAGCAGAACTCCTGATCCTTGGGTTTATCAACCAATTTTGGTTGATCCGCACTGCTGGATTCATGTAGCCTCGCCACTACTTGCTTGAGTGGCTCCTTCCCATGCCTAAATATTCATAGGAATGTGATTCTTTAAATCTTAAAACCCTAAAATAGGTAGAAATTTAAGAGAGTAAGAGAAAGACTTGAGAGAAAATGTTAAATCTGGGAACCCATTCCCCTCTAACGTTTACTTCCTTTCCATTTCAGGAAGTGAAATGATTTTTTAACAACATGTGTAAAAAGTTATTTTTAATTAAATATGCTATTAATTAGAATTTTAACAAAAAGGACTTACCGCACAAGTTTCTTCAGGTAACCGAGATAAATTTCGAAGATGAAGGCTGAACTGTTGTCTAACACACCCCACTTCTAGATTTGCTACAGTTAATTTACAATTTTTGGCAAGCAGTGCTTAGGATCTGGACCAACCCGGATCCGTTGGATACGCAAGATTTTGACTTCCTGGATCTGGATCCCCAAAAATATGTGGATCTTGATCAACTGATAATTCTGCAAAAATAAAACTTTTTTACTCCTAAACCCCACATCTGAACTATTGAAAAACTTATGATCATAAAAAATCCTGATTTCTGAATGGTTCATTATGTTTTAGCGTAAAAATAAGCGAAAAAAATAAGACAACAAATTAAAAAATTCTGCTTTGATTAAAAAAGCATAAGATCTTTAAAAATGATTTGGATCAAGATATGTTTTTTGTTCCAGTACGGATCAAGGATCCGCAGAACCAGATCCGCATCAAAATCAAATGGATCCTAAGCACTGATGGCAAGTGTGGCATTGGTTTTGTGTGTTTGAATGTCTGTTTGGTTTATAATATATTTGCACGTGAACCAAACTTTGTCTGGAAAATAAGTTTTATAACATCTTAATTTGAATCAAATTATATTTAAGATTCTCATAATTTTAACAAGTTAACAAATAAAAATTGGATTCAAAGCAGTCCAGACTTATAATCTAAATTATAAAAAATATTATTTCTTACCTTGTAATCGTCAATAAGATGAAGCAGGGAGTGTACGTTAATGGTTGGATAGGTTGGACCATAAATATACATCCCCATGCTGACCACACATGTGAAGAGTTTGGGAACAATTGATGCNTGCTTGGGACTTTAAAACAATTATTTTACAATTCTACCTAAACATAAACAGTGTAAATAATCTAAAGCAAAGTCAAGGACCATGTCCAGCTCCTCGTCCACTTCCGCCGGGATTTCTCTGTCAATACCTCCTAAAATCCAAATGTGAGTATCTTAAGTTTACACATTACATTAATTTTAATATATAATATAATATTTTCGAACATTTATTATACATTGTTACAAGAATAATTTTTGTAATTTTATAATTTTTTCCTCAAATTTAATGAATAAAATAAATAGAAAAATAAGAATATTTTGATTAACAATTTTAGTTTTTTAATCAGCCAGGGGGGGGGGGTGTGAAGAAAACTTTTTATCAGGAAATATAAACCCATGATTTGTAACAGAAAACTATGACCTGTATGATGATCAGGATCCTCTCTGATTCTAAATCCTACATTAGTTCTTCTCCGTAACTTAGCAGGATCAGCTTCTCCGAAACAGATTCCTCCTCATGTAAATTTGTTAATAGTTTTTTTCCCCTATTTAGTTTAAGAGGACTAATTTCGAAATGTAAAACAAAATTGCAACATTTTTACTAAAAGAGAAATACTGTTGGTATTTTAGTTTCCTTTTCCTAAATATTTTCCCAGAATAAAAGTATATTGCAAAGTTAAATGCTTTCACACTTTAAACAAAATGTCAGAAGTTTTATTTAAAGATTTTGAAAAACGAAATAACGATTAACAACCCTACCTGTAGGCTTGTAACCATGTTCTTTACAACGTCCGCAGGAGTTGAATCCTATAAGAGATAATTAACCATGTATTCTAACCTGATGAAAATTGTAAGATCTACGATTAGAAAATTACTTTTTTTGGTTAAAAGGTACCGAAATTTTACCTTGAATTTTTTGTTCATGAAATGAATTCCGTCGCTTCTTAAGGTTGAAAGTTCATCAAAAGGTTTCTTGAGAAATGCTAGATCATCAGGTTTAGACGGTCCACATGCTATCAAGAGAGGAAGAACAAAAGTAGGACTGAAAATAAAATATGTTATTTAAATTGTGTGCAGTGCTTAGGTTCCAGATCTTATTATTTTAATCCCTAGTATCTTAGCTCTCCGCAACCAAGAAATATGCTGATTTGTAAATCTGAAGTGCAAACATTTCAAATGGAAGAAAAAATCATTGATTGGTAAATTGCAAAAACTGGCGCTTAATCTTTTTGAAATTTGTTTATTTGTAACAAAAAATTTGGACTAATTGAATAAATGGGACATTAATATGATTTCTTAAAGGGGCTAGAAACGTGATTTCAAGTAATCCTCTAAAGATAGAGTGTAATGTTTCATTCACAATGGTACGCCCTTAAAAAAGGCATATAATGCAAAAAATATTTATCTCCTTTTTTATCTACCTAAGATTTCTAACAGTTATAAGTAGAGGCCAAAAGTTCTTCGGGGAGCTCTTGAACAGTGGAATACCATCTAAATGGGTTTTGTTGTAACTTTAAGATAAATAAAAAAGTATATTAAGTATATAAAAAAAGTATATAAATAAATAAATTAAGGATATAATGTAGTTTCAGGGTCAAATAAGTACCTAAATTTAGCTGTAGATGAAGGTCCGATAGATTTGACAGTTTAGAGGATGAATATCTAAACAAAATCTTAAAGAGTTTTTGATACAAGACTACATAAATTGGAGAGCGATATTTTAAATCTTTGTGACGGCAACTTATGTATGTATGTATGTATGTTTGTATGTATGTATGTATGTATGTATGTATGTATGTATGTATGTATGTATGTATGTATGTTTGTATGTAAAATGTGTTTGCATCCCAATTTCTTTTAGTTTATATATTAATATTCTGTACCTGTTGAGAATTGATTCGACTTGGTCTCTCACTGAATAGTAGTAGACTTCCATACCAGAGATATATTCCTTCTTTATCCCTCTAGGGGTTTTCTTAAGTGTCCTAACAATAACAATTTTTCTAGTAAAAAACTGATGTTTCATTTTTCGACTGGTCAGAAGATAAAACATATGATCTCTAACTTTTATTTTTTAAGTTTATGGTTCCGTTGAACATTTTTGTGGATGTGAATGCAGGAAGCAATGGACCCAGATCCGGATGTAAAGCACTAGATATCTTAAAATTATGCAATAACTACACGTAAAATGTAATAACATTTTGAAATTATATCTTTATTGATTAAATGATGAAATGCAGTGACCCCAGACCCGGATCTGAATCCATAGATACTGGATAAACTATTACCTACAAGTTATTTTCTTCATTACATCAACTTTGGCTAAATCCCTAAGATTAAATTAGTTTAAAATCGTTTTTATAAATTTTAATTAAGTAATGTTTTAATCTTACTTTATAAGATCGTCCACCGCGTTAGAAGGAACACTAGGATGCGAGGTTAACCAAGATCTGAATATGTTTTTAACAACCTCTTTACGATCAACATCCTCTGCATATTCTTCTCTGTCACTGAGTTCTGCAGGTTCATTATTCCCTTCCTCTTCAATTTCATCATCACTTGAAAGAGGATCCAAGAATTCGAAGTTGATGTCATCACTATCATCATCATAATCTTCTCCAACCGTGATGGTAAAGACTTGTGATACTGGAAAAATAAAAATACTTCTTACAAATGATTGGTGAGATTAGTGAAAAACTTATTTTTAAAAGTTGTTTAAATTAATCTTTTTAACAAATTGAAAAATTAGATTCATGGAAAAGCCAAATTTAAAGATATTTCTCTAAAATAAGTTATAGGCAATGAATTCATAAAAAGAATTTGCAACATGGATTGAAACAAGATTAACTGTTTTTAACCGAGGAGAAGGAGGATGAGGAGTGAAAAATATATATATATTACCATCAGAGTTAAAAGAAACATCTCCTGGGTCTTCAAGTTGATTTTCTGAAGAAGATGGAGTATCAGAAACATCTCCTGGGTCTTCAAGTTGATTTTCTGAAGAAGATGGAGTATCTTCTGTTGGTAACGTTTCATCTGCCGTTTCATGTGAGTTCAGATTCAATGCTGAAATAATATTAGTATTTAATATTGCAGAATAAGAATATCTTTTTTTTAGCAAGCTTCCGTTTAATTGTGACGAGGATCAGGAATCTGTATCCTGGATCTGCAGTGGATACAGTGACTATATAATTTCTGAAATATGAATTTCCTATGGAAATGTTGATTTTTCATCAAAATAAGAAAAAATAAGAATCCCTTTCGTCGCAGTAAAATTTCTGCAATACTGAATATGAGAATTTTGTCGTTATTTGTCAAGTTTTTCAAGACAAAAAACTGAAAAGAATAAATAGTTGTAGTTATTTCAAAAATCTTATTATTTAAAAACTTACATACTTTTCTTTTCTTGAGCTCTGTATAGTTTATGATACAATCTTCTGTCTCGATAATTATGATTAGACATTATTTCACCTGAAAATATACAATTTCAAGTTTTGAATCATGAATTTGTTAACACAAAAAATTTGCCTTTGTCACAAACATTTCTCGCGGTATTTGGATCTGAATAGAGAAAAAGGGAGAAGGGAGCTCGGACAGAATTTGTGTTTGGATTATTTTCAGAGTATACAGAATACAGGTTTTGATCCTACACATGATACAGGATACAGAATGTAAGTTTCAATACTACATTATGATACAGGTTACACATTCAAATCCTAATCTGGATAGAGGATACAGGTTTAAATGTGTGTCAGGAGACCAGATACATGTTTCAATCCTTGTAGGAAACCAAATACATGTTGTAATCCTTCTTCATATATAAATGATTAAGAAAGAATAATTAAATGAAAAAACTTAGCATTAGCATTAGCTTGATACAAATTTCAATTCTAGTCATGATTAAGGATGCAGGTTTAAATCTAATTCAGGATAGAGGATTCAGGTTTTAATCATTGCAGGATGATAAAGGTTTCAATCTTAGTCATGGATACAGGTTTCAATCTTAGTCAAGGTACAGGATACAGGTTTCAATCTCAAAAATGATACAAGATACAGGATACAATTTTCAATCATTGCAGGATACAGAATACATGTTTAAAACTTAGTCAGGATACATGTTTAAATCACGATTTTATGGAAGGGCCTAAAATCGTTTTTTGGAAGGTATTTTAAATGGTTTAATTAATCTATAATTTGTGTAATCCGTTTTAATTTCACCGTGCAGGCAGCAGCTGTTGTGAACTGATATTAGCGGCCAAAAGTACAAATGCCCCGTAACATTATAAAATTAAATAAAGACTACAGAAATAAGAATTTAAATTTCATTACGTAACTTTACGATTCAGGAATGAAGTTTCTAAACGGAAAAAACAGATTAAAAAATTCAAAATTTACAAATTTTGAAAAGCAATTAATTATAAAATAGCAATTATATAATAAATTTATAATTGACAGGTGCAATTGTTTATTAACTTTACAATTTAGATTGGTATTGAGAAACGTTTCAAATACGATTCTAAAACGTTACGTAACATTACGTTTTCATGTAACGTTACAAAAACGTTACAGAATCGTTACAGATAACGTAATTCCGTAAGTTACGTAATATGGTTTGGTGGGGTTTTATTTTATCTAGTTTGTAGTTAACATTTGTATGATTATTGATTGGGATATTCTTTGAAGACGGATCGTTATCTAATGATACAGATGATTCTGAATAAAACTCATCCTTCAAACTAACACTATCCTTCTTATTAAGGTCTACTGGCTGAGCGGTTACAGAATCTGCTTTAGACAAGTTTTCTGAATTCTGTAGTGATTCATGGTCAAAATTTTGAGGTGAATATGTTTGCTTCATTTTACTCATTAGTTCCACTAGTTTATTTCTGGATCCGTAGTTATGGGGGTCAAAATTATCTCCCATTATATCTTTCAGTTCTTTTGTTAACTCCTCAAATAAGGGTCCCCTGGCTCTATATTTTTTAATAAACCTGGAGTGCATATATTTAATGGATCCATCTAGTGGATTGAGTAAAACACAAAAACCGTCTGAAACATGTTTTACAATAAATAATACATGCTTGTAGGGCGAAAGATATTTTAATGGCATTTCACCTTGTTTTGGGGGTCTCATATTTTTTAGCAAGACAAGATCGCCAGCTGAAAAGTTAGGGGTTCTTGATGTCAAATTATGGGCTTCATGGTAATTTTTAGTTTGGCGAAATTGAAAATCTTTAACAAATGTATCTAATGCTTCAATACTTTCCTTTTCAAGCATAAAATGTTCCCTACCTGTCGGATCTTTTATAAGCGAAGAATTTATGAATAATGGTCTAGCTGGGCACCTAAGGAAAATTTGAAAGGGGGAGATTAGTTTAAATTGTTTGTCTAGTCGAAATACTCTTGGTGTTGAATTATAGATAAACAGTAGTCTCTCAAAATAATTGGCCCAAGTTTTTTCTTTATTCATAGTAAAACAACGCATAAGAGAACGAAAATACTTGACAGATCTTTCAGCACGAGCATTGTGTAAAGGGCTGTAAGCTAGAGATAGAGAGATAATATGGACCCCCCACCCCGCTAGGAATTTTTGAACGTCTTTATTTCTGAGTAGGGTAGATCCATTATCGCTTGTTATAGATATGGGCGGTCCTACTTGTGAGAAAATTTGTTTAAGCAAGCCTATTACTTCTACCGAGCCCTCTTTTTTACATTTCCTTGCAAAGAGGAATCCCGAAAATCTACAAATGGCAATGAGAATAAAATGGTTTCCATGAGAAGGTGGGGTTGAAAAGTAATCCATACTAAGAATTTGCATGGGGAAGAGAGGTGGCTTGGAGGGTGAGATGGGGGGCAACCTATTGGTCGCCCCCTTTGCTAGTTGGCAAGTGGCGCACCCTAATACTGAAAGTTTTACTTTGGATATCAATTGTTTAGAAAAATAGAGCGCCCCTATTATTTTTGACAATCTTTCTACCCCTAGATGGCCATAAATTATATGGAAATAACCTATTGTATCCGGAATGATCTTACTTGGGAGAACTAGTACTGAATTTTCTGGGCTAATTTTTGAACTGATATTTTTAAGTTTATGTAAAATTTCTTTTGACATAAAATACCCATTTTCATCATTGGTTTCATCTTTAAAATTTTCTTCTAAGTTTAAAATAATTTTGATTAGTTCTGGGTCTTCTCTCTGGGCCCCTAACAATTTTAATGGTGTTAGATCCTGAAAATTATTACAGACATGATTAATTGTTTTAAATGCAGGTTCGATTGATGGTTCATCTGCGTACTGGATCTGATCATCTAGACATGCTAATAGAGGAACGTCTTCTTTGCCTGGAGCTACAGGTATAGGAAAATTTTCAAACCAGTTTGGATTAGATTGAACCAATTGGGTTAGTTCAGAGTAACTGTAGTTATTTCCCTCAGGTAAATCGTGATTTATGTCTTTTTTGTTTACTTTTCTTAGTGCTGCCATTGGTATGCTTTCAAAATTATTTGGGTCGTAAGCGCGGCTGATATAATCAGCAATTAAGAATTCAGCATTATTGAGAAGGTTTTTCATATATAAGTTGGTAAACGATGTCATAATTCGCTAGCCTATTTGCCAGGTGACATAATTTTGGGTTTTTTTCCTATGACCTGAGATTTTATTAAGAAGAGAATATTTTTCGCATCTGTGACTATTTTTAAGGGAAAAGGGGATTGATTTATAAAACATGAAACCCTCCCCAGACAGTCTATGACATTGATCAATTCTAGCTCCAAGGAGGAGTAGAGTCGGGATTGGGTGGGATTGAATTTACGGGAAAAGAATGCGATGGGTTTTTTAATATTGTTGGGCGGCAATTCTTGGTATAGTACCCCCCCCACCCTGCAAATTGGCTGGCGTCGCAGTATGAAAGTAGGGGAAATTTGGTGTCAATATAACTCAAGCACATATTTGAATTTACTAAATTTTTTAAATTAGAAAAAGCTTTTTCTTGAGATTCTCCCCACAAAAATGGATTATTTTTATTC